TATGTTCTAATCTATGTGACCATCTGGTGTAGAAAAAAAAATTGTTGTTGAAATTTCCAAGACATTTAAGGTCAGAGCCTTAACTTTTAAGGGAAGGGTGAAAGATTCTTGTAGGGAGAAATGGTCACTGTCAGAGAGGGAGCAGATGCAAAAGTTAGCACAGCAAGTGATCTAGTAATTAATACACAGTCAAGCATGATGACTCCTTTCCCTTTCCAGAAAGTGAGCTCTCCTTCCGAGTCTCCAGGAGTTTGAGACTGAGAGATCAAATTTAATGGCTAGTTACGCCAATCTCCATCCCCTTATATTAATACCTTGTCTTTGGAATTACATGAGCCAAATAACTGGGAATTGCCTGAATATAAATATTGGATATTGAAATTGGAGGATATAACTTTGTTGTCAGTACCCATCCTGGCACTGAAGTGCCCTGCTAAGATCATCTCTGCATTTGGGAACTGGACTGTCAGCTCTAGGAGCCAATCTTCAAGAGTGTCCCAAATTCTGTTAGTTTGTAAAACAAACCTACAGGAAGGAAAATATATATTAATTAATAGTAGGTTTAACACTATATTTTTTAACTCAGTAGCCAATGTGAATGTATTAAGGAAAATGGGGACAACAGAGTTACACAAAGTTTGGAAGAGATAAATATGGCAATACCCCTGTAAGCACAACCATGCTTCAGACTAGGTGCCACTGTCAAGGAGGCAGCTATGTAGCTGTTTAATTCTATGGGACTGAGCTCCCGTGTTCCCTGGAAAAAAAGAATTTCAAACTGCTCTCAAGATGAAATGCTGGGTTGTCAGATTTAGCATACCATCCAGCAATATTCCAGGAAAGCTGCTGGATGGACTGCTGGGAAGGCAAACAACATTTTGGAGAAGGTGACACTCTCTGGTGAGATGCTGTCTACACCAGAAAAGTTTCCTCTATCTATCCCAGCCCAAAAGCATTTAGCCAGCTGAGGAATCTGATCTTCATGAATCACCTAATTGTCAGTAAAATTGGTCTACTGGTTAATCACTCACTTTAAATTAGAGCTTATTCCAAGCACTTTCTGTCCTTAAAGTCTAGAGTTAAAATCTGAAATGAGATCTAATGTATAAAGTCATGGACAATAATCTCAATCACAATATTCATCTCCGTAAACTGAAAGTTGGAAATGTAGCCAAGCAACATGGCAGGGAAAAATAATAATATCAATATACTACAAAGGGTATCCTGTTCAGCTGTCTTTAGGGACAGATCAAATTAATTAAGGCTGGAATCCTGTAACTGCTTGCCTGAGAATAAGTCAGTCTGATTTTTTCAGCAAATATGTACATGACTGTGTCCTAAAGGAAGCGTAATGCAAATTAGTATTTCTGATAAAAAAACATATGGTTAGTCATTATAACCTATTGTCAAAAACAGCACTACTTTTACTTTTCCCTTTTCAAGACTTGCCAAGATACTATATTTGGGCCTTCTCTATTATGGATAGAAAATGAGCTAATACCACTTTTTCTCCTTGCCCACCAGTGTGAGGACAAAATAGTGATAAAAACTGCTGCCTCCCTTATACATGTGCAATGTATCTTGATCGGGAAGACTAATCAGAAGTCTGAGTGCAACAAGTAAAAGAAGCAAAATCCTCTGTATCTGAATTAAAGGAGTGCTCTAAGTGAAATCTGGCTGTTGGCAAGTTACCCATTCATAAAGTCCTTTCTAATTCTTCACTGTGTTTGAAAAGGCAGCCCATCTGAAATGTATGTTTTTTGTAATCTTGATTGCAGAGGTGTAAAGAGGGGCTCCTTATAAAGCTTTCAACAGGTTTGCTGAATCCTTTTTCATTCCAGGAACAAAAGCTGCTCTTTATGGCTTATTATTATATACCAAGAGCTATGCAAATCTTTCTGTATCTGTTGCTACTCCTACAAAGGAAACCTCTGGAGTCCATCCCCGTACAACCCATCTTCCTAAAGTGCATGTCTGACTCTGGTTTTTCTGCAGCGATCATGGGCATTTTGAGTAACTACCAAGGCCCAGTGCTTTAGTGTACTACTCCCAGAACATTTAAGAAGTCACTAAAGCTTTTAAGGGGGAAGGGGGGAGGAAACTATGCAAGTGCTTTGTAGATGAAGCTGACCACACTCCATTGCAACCAGCCAGATCAGATAAATAAAATGAAACAGACATTTCTGGAACTATCTTGAAAGCTTTCCATTAGACTGTACCAGGGGTATTCACTAGCAGTAGCCAAGTGCCCAGGCAGATGTAGAGCAACTCATTCTAGTATATGTTTCCAAATACTGTACTTTATTTGTATGTATTGAGCTACTTTCATTTGGTACTGGGCAAAGGTCTTTGAGGAAAAACTCATATTTGTTACAGACATTCTGTCAATACAATATAAACTCTTTAATGGTATGACAGAACATTGGAAGAACATTCTAAAATTAAGAAAGTAGGATAATTTTCAGCAATGAAATTGCTGGAACCAGCTTAGCTGTCTTCTCCAATCTAGATGCCCTCTGGATGTGTTAGGACTGTAACTGCCAAAATTCTTAATCAACACAGTTGAGTGAGAAATTCGGTAGTTGATGCCCCCTGATTATATTGATAGCTGATTTCATTTATTCACTTCCTGAGCAGGCCATCAGTGTTTTCTGTATCTACTGCACTTTCCTGGCAAGTGGGTCTTATTCAACATGCCATAGGGGCTAGTGATAGGTGCAGGTTTGGGGTTTTGCTACGCACTACGTGCACTCTGTTCACATTAGAATGGACTGGGTAATCTCCCTTTTCAATTTGTATATTTTCTTTTATCTGTATCAGTTCTGTATCAAAAACCAGAACTAATAGCATTCCTTTAGCTATGGGTAGCTAGTTATTGGCGGAAGAATATTTAATTTATTTCTACAAGAAACCTATACAATTGTGCTGAGGACTACTGTACATTGAAAGTACTTTGGAACTGACATCAGGAAAACAAAGAGAAGTTTTGATTCATATGATGAAAAATACCTCACACAACTTGAGCGAACTAACTCCATACTTAGTCCTCAAGTTCACTGGGTCATTGTGGATATCTATCTATCTATCTATCTATCTATCTATCTATCTATCTATCTATGAATGAATGAATGAATGAATGAATGAATCAAATTTATACACCACGCATCTCACTACACAAGTGACTCTAGGCAGCTTACTCTTGTTCTATTTATTAAACTTTGCAAGTTTGATTTGAGGATAAAATAGATTAATTTCCATTTATTCTATCTTTTAACACCCTTAAGAAAGATTGCAGATGCAAATATAATTACCTAGTTGAAGCTTACCATATCATACTGCTTGTTTAGCATTGTTGCATTGGCTACATAGAGAAAGCTGCAGCAACACAGTACTGCCTTTGGTTCACTGATTTGGCGACAAAGGTTATGTTCTTAGGAAGTGTGGTCCTTTGGTTCTGGTGGTGGTAGGGATGTTTTTAAAGCATTTACAGCTCATTACCAAGACATACATATTTGTGAAGAAATCCAGCACCCTTTTATTAAATGAAGACACTTGAAAAATTCATAGGATCTGTTTCGCACATTAGAAACTCAATCAGAAAAGTGTACAGAAAAAAAGACAAAAGATTTGTTCTTACAGCTAATAAAAAATTTATATCAAGGCATTCAAGTAAAGTTATTTTCTGTGTTCTGATTTAATGAATCATTTGAGCAGTATCTGGCTAGTGTGACACTGATGTAAGGCTCATTGAAGCCTGTTCTAATGCCTACTAGTATTGCCTTTCTTGGGACAAAGGAGGCAGAAAAATGTGTCAGACTAAAGCAAGATCAAAGTAAGTGCAGTTCTAGGGACGGTAGGAGCTTGATTTGCAACATTTCTTGATGTATGAATGGCTGGTACACTATTTTATAGATTCCAATGGCCCATGCAATTCTAAAAAGAGGAAAATCAATATTACAGTAATAAGGAATCTCTAAAATAATATTTTGCTATCTTGTAATTAGAACTGAAAATCAGACAATGATTACTTGAAGTTTACAATCCTACTAAAAAGCTACCAGTAATTCTTAAGGGGAAAAATACATAACTCATGCCAAGATTTCTAAAATTGACCTACTTTACTAAATGCTTTTTGTTTTTAGGAAACCTTTTCCCCTTGAGCTTTAATGTTAAGGATACAATCTGTAAAAAAAAGTGGCATGCTTTTGTTATGTTTTCTGCACTTGGATCTCTTATTCTGTAGTCTTAGGCAGGCACAAATACAGCTGCTATTTAAATTTCCTCTAATTCTGCTATTAGAGCAGAACGGCTCTGCTAGAGGACTGTGTGTGGTTCTTGTGCTATACACTGTACAAGCTTGGCCTAATCTTTAAACATACACAGGCCTGGAAAGTCCTTCCTAGCATCTGCGGGGAAGCGGGGTATCAAAATATCAAGATGGCCTCTCTAGCATTGTAATCAAAGCCCCTTTCCCTCATACCTGTGTATGATGTCAATGTGCACTCTCCCTGTGGACACTACTGCCAGTTGGCTTTAATCCAGCTTTGTTCACTACTGAGATGATTAGTTCTAATTTTACAATCATGAATAAGCAGTAAGCTGCTACAGATATTTTCACATAGATTTGAAGGTGACAATAGATAGCACAGGGTTGCCTTTAGTTTAACTGTAGTTCCGGAGGCCTAGACTAGCCCACAGCTAGTTATTGCCTCAAGATGCCTATATTGTGGTTTTCTTCAGATGTCAGGTTTCACAGGAAAGATGGTATATTCCAAATGCTAGTCACCATCTTTTATTTTATACATTCATTATATATGGCTTTGCCACTTGTTCAGTTCAGTTTCCAACATTTTTTCCTAAATATTTCTTCAACTACTGACAAAAGAAATCCAGCAACATTAGATAAATTAAGAAATAAAGGAAGAATATGCTAATTCATGTAAGAGAGAGACTACTGTAGGGTTATATTGTATTTCAATGGATTCCAACTGAATACTTACACAGACAATAGCACAATGGCAATTAAGGTCCATACTGGAGCTCTGTGAGTTATATTTGTATTTGTCAACCTAGGGAAAAAAAGACAGCATTAGCAATTACTGCATTTCTGAAACTGTTAGAGCAGAATGGTTCAATAGCTATCAAATAGTAAAACCTGGAATGCAACAATAAAACTTCTGTCTCTTTACGTCTGATATCCTGGTGTACTGTGACTTGCATGTACCAATATCTAAGATTTTATATGTAGTTACTTTAAACGGGGGATTATAGACAGGATAAAGCTAATTTAAGCTGCTACAGATAATAAATAGAACTCTCTTCCACTCTCCATTATCAGAAGAAAGCTCAAAAGGCAGAGTGACAGAAACTCTTTTCAAAATGAATTATGGATTAATATCAACTTGTTAACAATACTAGGGATTTATGTAAATGAGCATGTATTAGTAATTTAGTCACTATTTTGAGTGATATAATATTCTAAGTTAGAAGATTAAAGACCCCTTTCTTAAAAAAAAGTTCTAATAGAGTTTAAATACCAGGTAATAGGCATAACTGAATAACCTGGAATAATATGCATACCAAGGAACTCCATTAAAAAAAGCATAGAATGTACATTGAACTGGAAACTATTTCATCACTGGAAGCATATTCAATACAAAATTTCTGCATATAATATCCATGATGGATGACTTTCACACTTTCTAAAGATAATTACACAATTCTTCTGATTTCTTATTCAAACAAGCCTTTTGTCGAAAGGGAGGTCAAGTCCTATGGCTCACAAGAAATTCAATGCCCCAAAGTAATATTTTGTACATTGCATTAAGCCCCAATATACTTTGTTTAGAAGTATAGGCTTAGCACAATTGGTTACTTTTGTACCTTTTCTTCCCTTTTAAGGCATTCAGGAAACTTGATTTTTAAAAAGCAGCATAGCACAATACATGAACCCAGCCCTAGCTTTTTAAGGGCTGGACTAATGGATCTTACTGACAGTCATACATACATCTATAACAGCAACCTGAAATGCCATGCTTCTTTTACCAGGTTGCAAACACAATAAAATTAGTAGGACTGTAATCAATGATAACCTTCTGCTAAATGATGCCATCCCGACAGTAGAACTGAGATTTAATCCCCACACTTCACATCTGTGCACATTTCCCCAAATCTGCTCTGGGTTACCACCCAGAATCCTCAGGATATTCTTGCTATTCTGTACCTGACTAAGTGATGAAATAAAGTATCCTGTCTGCAGTTCTCAGGAAGTAAATGGCCCTAGACTAAGCAGGATTTGCATGAATCTTTAAGAGACATAGAGACCTACTCTATGTGCAGCAAACACAGTTGGTACTTGCTAAACTGCTCTCCTGAGTTTGTGAGTTAGAGACAAAAACAAAGGACGAAGGTCTAGATTAAGCACCGATGACAGGGGTAAACACTTAAGAAGAGATGGCTGACAGAATCATCCTGACAAGCAATTCATATGTAACTTTCCAGTTAAGCTGCCCTGATGAGATGCAATGGAAGAGACAGGCCTCAAATCACTGGGGAGAAGTCTGTCAGACAGGAGAGGAAAGCACCTTTGTTTCAATGCCTTGCAAGGGACCCATTACTGATCATAGTTCAAGAAGGAATTGTTGTTGTGTTCCAACTCCAAGATGCAGTCGTTTGCATCAATTAACTCTTATTAATGTATTGATTGGCAAGGTCTCAACACTAGTTGTTGCCATCAATATGGTACTTACAGCAGAGGAAGCCAGGAGACACCCATAATCTGCTCAGGGGAACTGAATACAGCAGCAGGTAGTGAGGTAAACTATCACTAGGCTGGAGAACCAGTTAGGACTCCCCTGTCAAAAGCTTTTGGCAACAATTCCTGTCCCAGATAAAATTTGCCCAGTCATCCTAAAGAAGCCCTGGCTGATTGAAGCAAGTAACCTACAGGCACGAAGCCTTAGATAATCAGCAACAGAAAGGGGGTAATCACCTTAAAAAAGAAGCTGTGTTGAAGCTGAGGCCTCAGAAGAGAAAAAAGCATTCAGTACATGGTCAAGAGTACATGGTATACAGAACAGGTTCACTACTTCAGAAATGAAAAATTA